ATACCTTTTGTTTGTCAGATTGAAGAAGAGAATCGCCTTGCAGAAACCCGTATTCAGCTTCTTAAGAAAGGAAGAGAGGACATCTCAGATGCGAAGGTGGGGTATTTTGTCTCTCTAAATCATAACTTGGATGATTTTTTACAAAAAGATTTCCCTAACAAGCACATTCGTTTTGGCAGCTGAAAAGTGGGATCGTAAACTATCGGATATCTAATAATGGTCGGTAGGCGGAACATATATATATATATTTATATTCAGGCCCTATGTAAGTCAGAAACTGCATTTGTATGGGGTAGTTTGGTTTATACTTCATTGTTATGGATTCATATTAACAGTGTTTAACCAGTATCCTGAATGATACTTGATGGGTGTAACCAAGCCTTTGGCTTCAGTTGTATCTAAGTCCCATTTATGGTAAGAAGTCTTGGTCTTATCCCCAGTTATAATAAGAGCTGTAGCTCTTAATATGTGTACATATATATATATATGTATATAACCTGATGAATGTAAATTTTGGTAACCATATATTTATCCAAGAGGCTCCATGATTGATATAGATTCTTATTAGCCAGTCAATATGCATTCTAATGAAAATTACTTAGAAAACACTTCAGTACCTTTAAATATAATAATTCTCTAACACCGATATGATGCATATGTATATATATTTGTACTAAATCTATATAATTGTATTTAACAAGTGGAAGAAACCCAGTCTCTGCAAAGGCCAATTTAAAGGGTGGTTTTTGAAAGTTGAGTTCTACTTGAACTAAACAAAAAAAAAAAAACATCTTTTAACTTAAGCAAAGATGTTAAATTAAACTTTATTTTTCAATTTTTTTGGATTAACGAATGTCGTTATCTTAAAAAAGTAGAATATATTAGTATCTACGATATGGTATTACGATATCGATTAATGCAATTATTTTCGTAAGAGCGAAGAGGAGTTTTAATAAAAGATGTCGATTGAAACAAAAAAAATATGCTTGAGTTCTTCATATCCCTTCCTCCATCGACGTAGACAACTCCTATGGAGGTGTCAAAAATCTTAACCAAAACTCGAAACCAGGTAGGAGAGACTTCGGAGAAGTTTGTGTTTGAGGAGAACAATCTATTAGAGTTTTACACTTTTTAATAAGAGATTATATAATAAATCTATGCTTGAGGACATAATCATCAATTTAATTTTGTGGAAATAACTTTCAAGACATCATACGAAATATATTCGAGAATATTATATTTTGAAAGGTATAAACAATCAAAAGATACTTTACATCATTTATTAAATTTGCAAGATTTACAAATAGAACAAGAAATTTCAAAAAAAAAAATCTAACACAAAACTTAAAAATCTTCATAAAAGAAATGCTTGGCTACTCTCCCCAATCAAATAAAAGATTTGATGAAAACTAGAAAAGTTGAAAATGATTACACACGGTAAATTTATGTATATAGTTTCGTATTATCTTCGTGTATAAAATCTTTAATCCAACAATAACTTTAGAAAATACCCAATTCATTTATGCACAATTTAAAAACACGTACTAAGTTATTATTCGTGATAGAGATACATAAAATATTAAGCTAAATAAAAGAAATTTTGTTAGATAGGAGAAGGTCAAACTTTTTTCGATCTCTGATAATGTTCTTTATCATGGTCCTTATGAACGGTAGATTAACCTTCACATAGGGTGAAAGATGGATGTTAGCGTCATGGTGCATTACGTATCATTTCCCAATATATTTTATACCTATGCATAATTTACCTCTATTGAGAAGCGAAAGAAATTAAAGATTTAACGGCATAATAGAAAACTAAAAATATTCATTTTTATCGTACACGTTTAGTTTCTAACGATAATATCTAAATTATATAAAAAGAAAAATATAATTAAATTTTAACGTAATTTTTATCACACTCAATTATACACATAAGTCGTGACAATGAATGCAACAGGGCATGGATCCTGCGATAAATTATCACAAGATCCTATAGGAGTCACGGCAAAAATGGTCAGTTTCATCTCCTACAGGATCCAAGCCCATGTTGCAACCATTTTCACTGGTCATATGTACTATAGAGTGCAATACGATAGTAATTGTGCAAGTATTTACACAGAAATGTGTGAAAACACGAACATGCATGTCAAAATAGCAAAAACATATAGGAAAAAGACAAATGTAAAGACACTCTTCTTGCCATCTATTTGATGCACGAATTCAAAATTACTTCATATTTAGTTGAGAAAATTGTGTTGTCTCAACAAAGCCAATGTAGGGTATATATAATCTACATAACGAAGCTTTTTAAGATCCATTCTTAAAATACTTAAAATCTATCATTTTATTTTTAGATATTATATTTAATTTTTAAGATTGTGATTCAGATTCGAATACATTCTTAAAGTATTCAATATTTATCTTTTTATTTTTAGATTTATGTTTATTGTTCAAGATTGTGATTCGGATTCGGATCCAAAATCAATTTAAAAATCTAAGAAATAAGTATTTAATATCTATCTTTTTGTTCTTATATTTATAGCTAATTTTTAATATTGTGGTTCGGATTCGGATCCAAAATTAATATCTATCTTTTTGTTGAGTTTTGAACCAACAATTTCATCCTCACAAAGTAAGTTTTAGGCAACCTTAACATGTTTGATTTATTTTTATCACTTTCAAAAATAGTTTTGATGTCAACCAAAATAGTGAAAGAACCAAAACTATGATTTGAATGTAAAACCTTTACCTTTGATATTATATCATATATATATATATATATATATATGTATGTGAGTATTAAACTCATTATTCCAAAAATTTAATAAGAAAGAAAGAATATTACCAACTAACACATTCCTCATGCACAAATTAACTTGGTAGAAAGCATGAAATTGGTTTTTATTTATTGTATTTGCTATGCTATTAACTTTTGTGGTAACATAATTTTATATATATATATATTTTTTAACTAGTGTTAGGATCAAAAATCGTCTCATAAGCAAACATGGGAGCACGAGATGAAGCTTCCCAAGGAGTGCATACGAAGAATTTGTGTATCTCATGGACTCCTTAGTATTTTTTCACTATAAAGAGGTTTGTAATTCATTGTTTTTGTATACACAAGAAATAAGAAATAAAAAAGAAATGAAAAACTCTTCATAACGTGTTCGGACTTTCTCTCTATCTCTCTCTTTCTTATTTTTGGATTGTTAAAATTTTCATTTAATATCTACGTGATTTCTAATATATCTATATAGTTCAAATACAAGATAAATATAATATATTTAAATAATTTTAACTTAATGATATACTATATTACAGAAAATATTTGTTCCGTTCATGCCAAATGACATTGAATTCAAGTTGTACTTGAAATAAAGTTACGAGACAACCATTAGGCTTTTCTAGAAGAAAATTGAGTAATGGAGCCACGTGATATTGAAATAAACAATATCTAATACTAGCGATGGATTGGGCCAATTTGAACAATTTTTAAATTAAGTTCTCTTTAAACTAAAAAAGAAAGTATACGATATTATTTGAATCAAACGAAATAGTGAGAGAATAAATAAATCTTTAAATCTTTTTTAAATATGTATATTTCGTGAAACATCTGTTCACTTAAGCAACAACTTTAGATTAAACATAATTTTCTAACATGTTTAGGTTAACGAATATTTTTATGTTAAATAAGTGGAATATTTTAGTATTTGCAACATGATAACTGCAATAGCGATTAATGTAATTATCTCCATGAGCGTGAATAGAAGTTTTTAATAAGAAATGTCAATTGAAAAAAAAATATACTTGAGTTCTTCGTACCTCATCAGTGTATACAACCCTTATAGAGGTACCAAGAATTTTTTTTACCAAGATTTGAAACGAGGTAAGAGAGAATATAGAAGTTTGTGTTTAAGGGAATAATCTACTCGAGTTTTATACGTTTTGATAGAGTGTACAATAAATTTATGATTAAGGAGAAAATATTCAATTTAATTTCACGTGGATAACTCTCCAAACTCATACAAAATAAATTCAAGAAGATTTACATTTTGAAAGGTATAAACAACGAAAAAGTACTTTATATGCTTTATTACATCTACAAGAGTTATAAATAGAATAAGAAATAAAAATATACATTAAAGAAAATACTATTGTGCACAAGCTTGTAATCTTCGTAAAGGGATCACTCGGCTACTATCGCCGATCAAGGTTAGACTTTGGATCTGTATACAAACAAAAGATTTGACAAAAACTAGAAAAGGTTGACAATGATTACAAACATTAAGTTTACGTATGTAATTTCATATTGTACTTATATATAAGTCTTTAATCCAACAATGACTTCAAAAATTATCTCTTTACTTTCTGCACGATTTACAAAGATGTACTAAGCTATTATTTATAGGACAGATACATAAAATATTAAGTTAAGTAAAAGAAATTATGTTAGATAAAAGAATGTTAAACCTTTTGTTGTCTCTAATAATCTATTTTATAATAGTCCTTATGGATGGTAGATTAATCTTTAAATAAGGTGAAAGATATATTTTAGTGTCATGATGCATTAGGCATGATTTCCTGATATATTTTATAGATATGCATAATTTACCTCTATCGAGAAACAAAAGACATTAAATATTTAGTGGGATAGTAGAAAACTAAAATTATTCATTTTTATCATACTCGTTTAGTTTCTATTGACAATATTTAAATTATATAAAAGAAAAAATATAATTAAATTTTGATATAATTTTTATCACGCTTAATTATACACATAAGTCGTGGCAATAAATGCAACAGACCATGAATCCTGCAATAAATTATGACAAGTTCCTGTAGGGGTCAAGACAAAATGGTCATTTTCACCTCCTACAGGATCCAAACCCATATTGCACCCATTTGTACTTGTCATGTATATTATGAAGTACAATACAATAGTAATTACGCAAGTATTGTACAATACACATTTAGTGTATAATGACGATATCTAAATTATGTAAAAGAAAAAACATAATTAAATTTTAATGTAATTTTTATCATACTTAATTATACACATAAGTCGTGTCAATGAATGCAATAGGACATGGATCCTGCAATAAACTATGACAAGTTACTGTGGGAATCAAGACAAAATGATCATTTTCACCTCCTACAAGATCCAAGCCCATGTTGCATCTATTTGTACTTGTCATGTGTATTATGAAGTGCAATACAATAGTAATTGTGCAAGTATTGTGCAATACACATTTGGTTTCTAATGATAATATCTAAATTATGTAAAAATATATATATATAATAAATTTCGATGTAATTTTTATCACACTTAATTATACACATAAGTCGTGACAATGAATGCAACAGGGCATGGATCCTGCAATAAACTATGACAAGTTACTGTAGGAGTCGAGACAAAATAGTCATTTTCACCTCCTACAGG